TAATTTTTTTTTTTTTTGCGGGGATTAAACATACCATGAGGTGTTGATGCGCCTTCGTTGAGCGCTTACATATTAAGGAGAACATTTTTGCTTGTGCGAGTACCTCTCTAAATCCATCGGAAGCCAACATCTATATTTCTAAGGCAGCTTGAATTTATATTATGACTCTTACGAAATTATGAAATATTGAATCCGAGATAGTATAGTGGCCAGTATTTCCGCCTGTCACGCGGAAGACCCGGGTTCAATTCCCGGTCTCGGAGTACTTAATCTCTTTTTCTTACACTATTTTTTTATTACCTTTTTCTGTTACCTTTTCTTACAGGTTTTTTTATAAGCGTGTCACTTTCACTGAACCTAAGCTAACCTAATTAAAAAAAAGAAATTTCGACCTTATTCAGTTAATTAACAGTATAGCTAATTCCTAAATTACCGTTTTTGTGAAAGCTTCTTATTATTTTAGCTATTAAAATATTCTATAACGTATCTGATCCAACAAAAGAGATTAATATAAGGAGAGTTGATTGTTCCAGTCCTCAACCGCTTGGCAATCATGGAGTCGCATATCATCATACAAACGTTCGTTTACTCATGTTTTTTATTAAGCCATCTTGTACAGCGCAAGATTTTCTTTGTTGGCAAATAGAAAGCTCTCGTTAATTAGGAAGTCTTCGAAAGGCAACTGTACTTTTTGGTTCAGTCCTACACCCCGTGGACACTGGCATGATTTGTTTCACCCTCATCGAAAATATGACAAAATCGTTTTCTTCCTTTTTTCAAAAAAAAAATTTCTTTTTCACCCCCCCAATGGTTTCAACAATTCGAAATTTTTACCGTTATGGTCATATATGAAAGATTTACTCTTCAGTAAAATGTTCCCATTGAATCTGACATACATCATGGAAGGGGAAAAAAGAAGGCTACGCGTTAAATAGACATAATATGTTGTGTAAACGTTTTTCCTGTTCGCAATTATCAGTCCCAATTCCAAAGATATGAAAAGAAACAAATCGTTGTATATCCCAAGGAGGAACTGGCGCTGTGCGGAGAAAAATATGTATGGTAATATTCATCATATGGCCTCCAAAAAGGGATACCATTTTTAAAGTGGCCAAAAAGTTATGTTAACATTTTTAGGCACCTTTCGACTGATGTGATGGCAATCTTCGTGGTCATGAAACGGATTCCCCGAAAGTACCTATTCCTTTTACTCGCCCCCTAGGTGTACGTGTAAAACTGTTTGCGCCCAGAAAAATGCGAAATTTTGGCGAATACCGTAAAGATATGAAAATTAAATCAAACACTGTTTCGTAAGAATGTAATTATGTAAAATACCTTTTCAAAAGATGGAAAAAAATAAATGTGAAGTTTTTAATTTTTTTTTAAATATATATATATATATATGCATATAGCCAATTTTATCGCATACGTTATTATTGACAGAATGGCCGAGTGGTCTAAGGCGCAACGTTAAGGCCGTTGTCCGAAAGGGCGTGGGTTCGAACCCCACTTCTGTCAGTTTTTTCTATACGCCAGTAGTGAAAAAAATATAGGATTTCAATGATACCGTTTTTATACAAAACCATATATATTAATATATTTCCTTAGAAAGAAGTATACCATGTACTTTTTCTCACCATTTCTTTTTTTTTTGCCATACGTAGTGGAAATTCCTTGGGAACAAAATGCAATATTATGATTTCCTTGCCTCTATAAAGAAATGATTGTCAAATTTTCCGTTCTCATTTTATTGCGCTGCTGTGACGTGACTGTGTTTGAATAGCGCGACACGCAGATGCGTATAAAAAAAAGGAATACTAATTATAAAAAATGTGCCTGAGAGGGCACCAAAATCTTAAAGGCGGCATGGGGATACCAGATGACGCTGTTCCTATACGGGGGCAAATTGCTCGAGGAGCTGCTATATGCACATATGCGTCTAAAACACCTGTACACGTACAAGAGAATAGGTGTATGTAATCCCCCGCCGTCGGCTCTTCCTTTGGCTAGGGTAAGCTAAGCTAAGGTAGCCATGCAAACAGAGCTAAACAGATTTCTCTACAAGCACATGTTACATAGGTGATGTATGCGCCACACATTGAGGAAGCTGCGAGGAAACTGTGAAGAAGCTGCGAAAAATGCCACTTCTCACGTGCGCTTTTCTTAAGAGTGACACCAAATGGGGATCCATAAAAAATAGTTTTCACCTTCCATCAAATTATTTTTTCCCTCTGAGGATATTTCCGTTACATTCTGTTTAACAATTGCTGCTCAGCAAAAAAGGGGTGGCTATAGGTAATAACACTCGCTTAAATTTTAACTAGGTCTTAATGGGGATGCTTTTTTGCTCCGCATATAAGCCCCACATTTTTGTGTATGTCACATTGGGCACTATTATAAATTTAAGCACAACAATTACGAACCACATAGTGGAAAATGCAAATTTTTTTTCTTCCCTATTTGATCCTTCTATCAAATGGTAATTAGAAAGAAGTTCATTTGCTATATCTATAAGAAACAATTTTCATTATTCTATTGCTATTTGATAAATATCCCCTTTTTTTTAAAGGAAAAAAAAATCCGACAAGGGCAGGAATCGAACCTGCGCGGGCAGAACCCATTGGATTAGCAGTCCAACCCCTTAACCACTCGGGCACCTTATCATGTATCTTGTATTTGGCAAAACAAAGCATGAATATAGAGCATCAATATGAATGCATGAAGCGCACTTACATATATGCATCCTTCCATACATGACATATTTTTAAATTCTTAAAACATACTTTGTAACGATTAAGTGACACCGTTGTGAAATGCTATTTTTCTCATAAACGAAAAAAATTACACTTAATTGTATGCTTAAAAGGGTATCCCTTAAAGTGCCACAGTTCCATTAAAAATAAAATTTTAAAATAGAAAAAAAATGGCGGTTAACTTGTTAGCCACTATTTTCCCCTTTTCCAAAATCCAGGAAAAAAAAAAGAAAAAAATACCTGCGCGCACATCCATAGATATGCAAGCGCATAACTGAATGAATGATGGCCAAATTATCTTTCAGTGGTGAGAAGATGTAACTACATCTCGAATTGCGCCGAAAAGCAAATGCAGTCTACGAAAGGAGACAAGCACGCGCATTGCAGTTTTGCCATTTTCACAAGCTATCATTTTTACCGACTCCATATCAATCCTCCCTTGATCAGTTGGAAAACGACCAGCTTTGCTAAATTAAATGAAGGGAGAGCAGTGCGAAAGTAAGGCCTCCCAAGTTATGCCATTCCGAGCATCCTTCTTTTTTCCTTACTGTGTCTTTAATGCAGTGATCATAGGGTCACTCATAAGGGGCAGATCCCCATCGCAAATCGCATGACGTTTTACGAACTGGCAGCACAGGAAAATGTTTAACATTCAATGCATGGAGGGTGAGACCTTCATCGAAAACAACCTCACATGTAAGTATGAAAGCATGGCGGCATTTCAATATGGACATTTCCACCTTACGTGGAAGAACAAAAAAAGGCACGCTTCTTCCTTTGGGGCATGCAGGAGACATGTTAAAATTCCTTGCAATCTTTTTTTTACTCCATTTTTCGCAAAAACGGATATGCCTTTACTTATTACTAGTAGTCCATTAAGCCCATTTGATCTCTTCTTCCCTTGTTCACCCCCTTCACGCGCTTCTGTACGAAGCAGGTGAAGCGTCACGAAAAACACGCTTAACTGTTCGCTCAAAATGACCATTTATGTACCTGCACCTAAGTACTTACCTCCTTTCACACCATCACCATTTGGGTAGTATTCTAAACGTCCAAAGACACTCTCTATTTTGCCCACAGCTAAAGGCATATATAAAGCTACATGGACATTTGGACACATCTGAAGGCACAAATGTTAAGTTGCCGTGATTGGGGGTTCCAAAAAAAAAAAACGTTGCTTCGAAATGGGAACATGATGAACAAGCTTTTATTCGTCTCCATTATTATAAGCCTACTCGTTTCTTTCAACATGTACCTTTTCATCGCAAGGAAGCGAAGTGAAAGGGTGGTGATATATAACGCGTTACAGGCTAGGGAAGCGTTTTTCACGAAAGATGCGACTATTTAGCGGGAATACCGAAAATAATTACGACCCCCTGTGGCTTCTCACAGCTTCTTGCAGACCCTCGTAGCATATCTCCTTTTTTACCTTTTCTACATCATTGCACCCTTCCCGTTAATGTTTTGCGAAAACATTGAGAGAGGTCACTTAACCTTGCGGTGTAACTCTCCCCCGGATTAGGGTTCGTCAAAATGGGTGCCCCCATTTAAGAAAATAAAAAAAATAAATAAATGAAGAGTATTCTAAATGCCACTTTATGTTTATACTTTTTTCTTTTTTCCTTTTTTTTTTCTTTTTTTTTTGTAACAGTTTTGGCTTTCTTCATCCCATTTGGGATATTTTTTTCTTTTTTTCCCTCCTATTTACATACTCGATTTTTTTTTTTGTCACTGTTTTGGCTTCACGGGGAGTAGATGAGCATAGAATACACGCAGTTGTTATGTGTTATCATCCCTTTTTGGAGTAACTCAAAGAGGGTCGAATATTTGCAGCATTAAGGAATGCATGTATGGTGAATGCTTTAAACTGGCATGATCTAAAGTGGGTACATGTACATTCGTTCATTTAGAAAAAGTGGATAATGCGCGTAGGGAAGTAGATTCTCAATTCATGACCGCTTGAGTTAGGACCATTTGGTGCCTCCCCACAAGGGCGTATCCGTACGTCTGTGTGTAGCTACTTCCTGTATCTATGCGCATGGGCAATTTGCTGTAGGGTAACATTTACCTGGACACACATTGCTCTGGGCGCCGCCGCCAACAGAAGCTACACGGGGGAGAGTGAAAGGGGAAAGAGCTAAGAAGAAAGGTTGCAAAGAAGCGAGAAGCCAAAACCAGAGAGCAAAAGACAGCAACTAACCACCGCGAAAACACGCAAACAAACAAACGCACAAACACCCAGACACACGAACCGAAGATGTCGCTGATACGCCCGGAGAAAGCACAAAGCGAATACGAAATCTTCATGAAGGAGTGGAAAATAGAAACGTCAGTAGACGCGAACGACTTTGTGGACAATTTCCAAGCCTTTTTTTTTGATTGCGATGGAGTTCTATGGAGAGGAAATGAAGTCATACAAGGAGCAGTGGAAGTTATAAACAAATTAATAAAAGCAAACAAGCAGATTTTTTTTATAACAAATAATTCTACAAAATCGAGAGTTACACTGTTTGAGAAATTTCACAAGTTAGGTTTCGGACTTATTAAAAAAGAAAATATTATTTGTACTTCCTATGCAATTGCTAAATATTTTATGGAGAAGGAAGAATACAAGAGTGGGAAAAAAAAAATTTATGTTATTGGAGAAAAAGGCATTTGTGAGGAACTCGATTGTTGCAATCTTCTTTGGTTGGGTAGCTATAACGATAATGAAAAGAAAGTAGTAATAAAGGATGATCTAGAAATAACTGTGGATAAAAATATTGGAGCTGTCGTAGTTGCCATCGACTTTAACATTAATTATTACAAAATCCAGTACGCACATCTTTGCATCAATGAATTGGACGCTGAATTTATTATTTCCAATAAAGACGCAACTGCGAACTTTACTTCAAAACAAAAATGGGCTGGCACAGGTTCTATCGTTGCTAGTATTGAAGCTGTTTCGCTGAAGAAGCCAACTCTTCTTGGCAAGCCAAATTTCTTCATGATCGAAAATGTCCTTAAGGATCTAAATATTGACCCTGCCAAAATCGTCATGGTAGGAGATAGACTAGACACCGACATAAGCTTTGCCAAAAATTGCAACATCAAATCCGTTCTCGTTTCCTCAGGCGTTACCGATGCGAATATTTATTTAAACCATAACCATTTAAATATTCACCCTGACTATTTTATGAAATCGATTGCGGATTTTTTATAAGCATATTTTGTGTAACCATTCCGCGCGGAATGTGCCTCTGCCACTTAGTTATATGTGTGCACCCTCGGCATAATTGTTGTGCCATTTGATAGCCCCTTTTTTGGTTACAATAAAAATTGCCCCCAATTCTTTTTTTTTTTTGGCAAACATTAAGTGGTGGATAGGTACACAAATAGGCGCACAGATGCGCAGTGTTTCTGGTGAGTTACTCCCCATGCATATTTATACACCCCCGTTAGATGGCCGACGCGTGGGTACCTAGCCCAGTTTGTATGAACGGAATGGGAGAAAGCCTTGCGATCGCTTCCTCCACCGTTTCGCCTATTGACAAAGGCAGAGCAAAACGAAATTGTGATTACTTCTTGGGTGTGGCGGTTCTCCCTTTTTTTCTCCCTATCTTTCTCTCTTTTATTTGGCTGTCACTCCCCCCCCTTCCAAGCATCCATTCAAATCCTTCAAGGTTGAAGCCCCCCTCCGCTGCTAAGCAATTTATTTAAGGTATTATTTAGTTCTTCGAACTTCTTTGTTAGCCTCTGATTTTCCTGTCGGAGGAATGAATTCTCCCTCTTCAGATCTTCCAGCGGCACGTCTGCGCGAAGTGGGGTTAAGGTGGAATGTCTGCAGTGCGCGATGAGCGTCGTGGAATCAGTCAATTGCTGCTACCTCCACCGTTGCCGCCGCCGGATGGTTTCCATTTAGGTGAATGGGGAAAAGTAAGCAGTTCATGGCTAGGTAAGCCCCTGGGCAGCTATTCAGATATGGATGACATCATACCCGCGTCCACGTCCTGCAAATGGTCGGATATAAATTTTATCGCATCCTTTGGCTTTTCCTTCTCTTCGAACAGTTCCAGGAGGGCGCGGCTTATTTGATCCATTACGCCATGCTCCTCTAGGTAGGTGATAAATTCTTTTTCGCGCGCACTCATTTTTGCACTGATTTTAGATTTCGATCGATACGAATCGCCCTTTCTTATTTTCAAAATCGCAATAGGGTTACAAAAAAGAGGTGAAAAAAGTGGAGTTATACCTTTTCGATTAACCGAATTTCCAAGAATTAAAAATTTCAACACCCCTTTTTTTTTCGTATGGCTGCTAGAAAATGCGCTTAATTTGTAGACAGGGTTAAATAATTACAGGCAAACTTTAAAAAGTTAACAATTGAAAGACAAAGAAAAAAAAAAAAATGAAAAAAAAAAAACATTTTAGACAAGTTTTTTTTTTCTTTCAAAGGGTATAAAATAGTAGAATGTACATATGGCACAAGATGGGGACAAAATGGAAACAAAATGACAAAGGAAACATTTTAAGCGTCCGTTGACGATTACGTAGCAGCTGCGACTAAATTTTTTCACTCCCTAAGAATTTCCCGCATTTTCCATACATTACGGTGATTACTTTTTGCGAGTGGGGAGGAGAAAAGAGAAAGGCGAAATGTACAGTAACAGTTATGCCTATTTATCCACAACAGCAGTCATACCTTTAGTTACTGCTACGCTTATCTCGTGATAGCGTTCATTTCATGGAAACTGTGGCGATGTCTCGCTAAACATTTCTTCGTTTTTTTTCCCGAGTAGTATAAAAGAAAAAGCATACGAATCTCTCTTGTATGAGGAGAAGTATTATGGGCAATTTATTATCTACGTCATAGGAAATGCAAAACGAGGGGGATTCAAACGGTTCGCGGTGTTAACAATGCTTGATTGGCCTATCCGTTTTGATATTTTCCGGCCTTTCGATTGTCTTACTTGAGCAGTTTGGAAAATTTTTCATACATTTTTGTGTGTTTAATTTTTTGCACCACTTCTGTGTGTTTAATTCTTTGCGCCACTTCTCTGCGTTTGACTTTTGGAGGGCTACTTCCCCTGCGCGCCCCCCTCAACTGGCTGCCAGCAGGAGCCTAAAAGCTCATCCTTCTGTTGATCCTCCTTCGCCTTCTTGTCCTTCTTGTCTGGGTTCGGTCGGTTAAACGTTTTAATCCTGGAGGATCTTCTCCGCACAACGTTTGACAAAATGGTGAGAATTCTGTTCATATTTTTCTCCGTCATTCTGATGGTCTTCTTGTTCATATAAAACGAAGCTGTGACATTGCCAATCACTAAGCTGTTTAACTTTAGCGATTTAATAATCAAATTAAAGTTTTGTTCTGTTGCATTTCCTTTAAGGAAATGAAAGGTCACCAAGATCCACTCCTCAATTGGGTATTCCCTGATTATGTCCACACTGATCGTTTCGAGTAGCAAAAAGGATTCCACAAAATCGATGGTTTTAATTTTATAAATATTTATTAATTTTAAAATATATTTTAATAAATCATCAAAGTTTTCCTTGTCTTTTTTTTTTTGTATATGTTCAATTATGAAGTTTACGAATCCTGATGCACATCTGTACTCATCAATCTCTTGATATTTTTCATTCGTCCTTCTTAGATTTTCTTTTTCTTTTAATGCGCTTTTATCTCTGAATATTTTTAATTCCATCGTCTTCGTTTTGGACATTTTTTTTTTTCTTTTCTCCATCACTTGGTTATCGGCATTTACACTGTTTTGCTTTTTTTTACTACTTTCACTTTTCAGCTCTTCTTGCTCATTTTGGGTATCTACATGCATATCACTGTCAGTGCTATTTCTTTTTTTTTTATATTTTTGGCTCTTCATTCTGGCGCTTCTCCTTACCGTTTGGCTCCCACTGGGGAGTTCTTTTTCCTCCTTAATAAGCACCTTGCTGTCCCTTTTTTCGCGTTTCACGCGTATGTTTTTATTTTCAATTGGATCTCTATGTGTCGAGGTGTCTTCCTCCGCGAGTTTTTCCTCTTGGTCGGTCTGTTCGTTCTTCTCGTGTTTGTTCCCTGGTGAAGTGGACCTCTTACTGTTGGTTCTTTCCCCCTCCGCCAGATTCACCTCGTTATGCCCTTGATTTTTTCCTTTTTTATTGCCAACCACCTTTGTGCGACAGGAGTTATAAGGCATGTTATCATTTGAATCCTTTTTGTTTCTCTTTCTGGTTGGGCTCACATCCTCACGAGAATCCATCCCCTCGTGGGTGCACTTATCTGTCACGTTATTAATTTCTGTATCTGATTTATCTGACCTTCTATAATTATATTCCTTCTTCGAGTTTTGCAAATAGGCATGTATTATTTGGTTAATATCTTGGCTGCTCTTGTACTCGCTTGGTTCCTTTTGTCTTAACTTCCGTTTGTACTCTTCCGTCAATAATGGTGTGTTTGACTGGTTGTCCGTTTCTTCTTTGGAGTTGGTTCCTCTTTTTTTGGTACCCTTCGTGCTGCGTTTTCTGCCACCCGCTGCTTCATCGTTGGGGACTGGGACAGGGATCGCCGTCTCGCCCTTTTTGTTGGGGTGTCCCTTTTGTTCGTCATTGGCGCATCGTTCGCCCGAGTTTATGCTTCCGTTGAGTAGGCTGCTTACGTTTCCGCTTCCAACGCTGCCTACATTTCCTCTTTGAACGCTGCCTACATTCCTGGTTAGAACGCTGCTTACATTTTCGCTTTGAACGCTGCTTACATTTCGGTTTCGAACGCCGCTTGCATTGCCACTTCTGCTGCCCCCTCTTCGACTACTCCCCACCCCATCGTAATCAGCGTAGTCATCTGTTAAGGGGTAAATATCATCGCTGAATTCACTCTTAGTTACCATTTTATCCCCTCTGCCCTGTTGAAGCCGTTTGGTCATATTGAATAGACGCTCATTGTACGAAATGTTCTGTGAAAAGTTATCATTAATGTCACGCACCTCAGTGTTCTTCTCAAACTTATTTGAGTGGAAAAAGGATTCATTGTTGACACTTATCTTTTCTTTGCAGTCCGGGCACCCACTCTTGCTATTGCAGACAGGTAAGCAGACATGCTCCTGAGGAAAGCGCTTTTTTAAGTATACATTCTTTCCTTTATTATCTCTCTGTTTTGCACAATTTCCAACAGAGGGGCAGTTATTATTTCTGTCAAATATATGTGTTCCTTCTTTGCATGGTAGACATTCTGTGATTCCCATGCGATAGTCACGTGGGAATTGGTAGTAATGTTTCTTTTTTCGATTTTCCATTTTGTCTTCATCTAAAGGGGAACAATGTGTGCAATTGTTAACATCGCCTTGCGTTTTGTTCGTGTGGAGGCAACTGTTTCTGGGTACTTTCGTGTCCATTTCAACTGCATGGATTATGCTGCAGACGTTTCTGCCAACTTTATCATGGGCGTTTCTGTTGATCGTGCTGTCCTTGCTCTTCCCCCTGGTGTAATACCTGGCTCCACCTGTACGATTCTCCCCATTGTTGTTGTGTTTGCTTCTGTGGTTGCCACGGATGTCATTATTGATATCATTGTTACCACCTTGGTTGTTCCTATTCCCCTGTGATGTTTCTCCCTCCCGGTCTGTGTTTCTCCCTTTGGATGCAAAATCTTGCGCCCTTGTCAAGCTCCTCAAACGGGTGGAACTTCCTTCTGGGGACGTCTCCTCACCTTCACCTCTATTAACATTATCGCCTTGGTTATAAGCTAATCCATATAAGGCTGCACTTTTTGTCCTCTCTCCATTTATCAATTTTGTGGACATACCATTTGACAAATGAAGGTCCCTGGTGTTGAACCCCTTCTCTTCATGGTAATGGCCGACATTGCCAATCGTAAGGGTAGTTTCTCCAGCATTGTTGCTAACAGAGTGCATGTCGCAAGTCGCCTTGTCGTTATCGTATGAAAGGGTACCTGCTTCTTTTACCCTACCATTTTCAATAATATTTCTAATTTCCTTCCCATTATTGAAGTGTGACATATCATGTAATGGCTTCCTCTTCCTATAAAGAGTATTATACATAGAAAAATCGTTGTACTTATTATACGTATTGTATTCTGATGAACCTGGCTGTGTTTGCTCCTTGTGGGTCACTGGGACTACGCGGTTGTTCCTTTCTACACTTGGATGTTCCCTACTATTGGGAACATTCTTATCCACACTGTGCAGCACATTTTTTTCACATTTTACAAATACCCTATTCGTGCTTCCTTCGTCATGCGAAAAGTTCATACATTTCGAGGGAGTATAATTGTGCATATGTTCGGGGTGCTCCCATTTCTCTTTCTCTTCTTCGTCTTCAGAAATTTCACAACCGTTCATTGTGCGATGTGTAAAATGTTTGTGTGCTTCGGGGAGGTTTCTTCCCCTGCCTGAGGGCGCTTCTGGGCAATTTCTATTCCAGACTGTCCGCCCTTCTGGGGAAATATTACTCCTGGCTGCGTACCCTTCGGGGCAATTTGGATGCATGCCATTCTGCTCACTTCTGCTGGCGCCACCGTGGCCTGGATAACTCCGAATCAATGTCTCCGACTTGACTCTGAAAACTTCTTCGTTGGGGTAGTATGCCATTTGTCTGTCCAGAACAGTCCTACTATAGGCATGATGGTCTGCCCTTTCTACGGCCACCTGAGCGGCGTCCTTCTGTGTAAGGCCACATATGGCCCTATTTTTTGCTTCAACCCTGTTGACAGTAATACTCATATTGTTGTTCCTACTGAGTATCTTTTTTTCCCCGGGTTGGATTATCTTCACAATTCTGTTGTTATCCTCTCTCCCATAATCATTGGGCGATATGTGCGAATTTACACTGTGTGGATTAAATTTGTTCCTACAATCGTTGGATATTGCTAGCCGCTCATTTTGTTCTTCGCCACTTCTTGCCTGGCATCTGTTTGGAGGCACAACCAGTCTTATCATATTTTCTGAGTTACTCTCGAATTTATCTTTACGTTCAATACTCCAATTGGAGCGCATGTCACTTCCTCCTGCTCCCTCATTATGGGCATTTTCATACTTTCGATTTTTTTCGGTTATAGAGCCATCGTACGGTGGAGAATTATGCCTGGGAATTATACCTACCAACGAGGGATCCTTATATTCGTTTACATTTCTCATGTTTAGGGGTATTCCTTCACAGTTGCTTCTACTTGATCTTGCTTCCTCATCATTGCATTTATCCATTTCAGCGTTTTTCTGATTGGATAAACCTGATTCCATCTTCCTGTCTGTTCTGTGGCAATAATTTCCTTGGATGGACTTTTTCTGTAGGATGGTGCCGTCCCTATCGTATTTTGCACTCCCATTTCGCTTACAATAATTGTCAGTGTGGCTCGTTCCGCTGCCGTTACCAGATCTTGGCGGGTTCCTCTCTGATTTTGTATTGCTTGCCCCATCTGCGCCGTTTTCTAGGTGAGTTGACGCATCTTCATGGACACTCTTACTTCCCGCTTCTTTCTCGACCTTACTTTTTTTGAAGGCACTGGTTCCACTCTCACTGTAGGTATCTCCGTTTACCTTCGATATAGTTCTTTTATTCCTATTTCGTTCATTTTTAGTGTTGCAACAGTATGCATATATTAAGCAGCACAGTCCACAGGTCAGTGAAGCCAATATGCCTTGCACCGTGAATAAGAACACGGTCGTGTTGTTGTGAGACATTTGTAACGAAGACTTACGGGGGGTGACGAAGGGGGGGAGGAGATGATGGGAACCTGACGGGCCCAAAAGTTCACAAGATGCTAAATGTGGAAGCGGATTATTGGATAAACAAAACAGTTGGCAAAGTGCACAAGACAAAAAATTAACTAGTGGCAAAACACACTGGGTAAAGCTGCCACTCTTTCAAGTGCATGCCCTGAAAAAAAAATATAGGCCTCACTTTTTTGGAGGCACAACAAAACATTTTAAATAAAATTTTTTGATACAAAATTTATTCAGTATTAAAAAGTTATGCCTTAAGACGGACGGGAACAGTCCCGCGTCTATAACGGAGCTTATTATTCCAAACAATTCGTAAAGTGGAGGAACAAAAAAATATTTCAAATTAAACACTAGAAGGGAAAAAATACAAAACAAATATGACAAGAGGGTGACAAAAAAGTGACAAATACGTGACAAATACGTGACAAAAACATGACAAAAATGTGAAGAACAGGTTACACAAATATAACATAACTGTTGTGAATGAGTTAAAAAATTTTCATCACATTTGGACATTTTCATTTTACATGATTTCCGGTGTTATTTTTTTTTCCGTGGATAATCACCAGTTTCCGCTTAGCAAGGGGTGGTAATGTTGCTACAAAAAAAACGTTTTAATTTTCCCCCGTTTGGGATGTAGAAAAGTGCGTAACCCTTTCACGTGGAATTTTTTTCACGAAGGAATTTCATCATGCGGGATTTTCCAGTTAAATGTCTTTCCCCGCATGTGAGGCGCTTCGTGGTGCATGTACCTTAATGTGACCCTTTTTGTGCCAATGCAGGAAAATAGGTAAATCGCCACGCGTATTAATATAGGCTGTGAAGCAGGGATGTCCATATACATAATTACATACTCACGTGCGCACATGATTCAGGTTCTGCTTTGGCCTCTCCTCCTTTTAACAACGTTTAAAGAAGAAGAAAAAAAGACACAGTAGGGGTTAACACAACGGTCACAAAAGAGCAACTGCAAAGGAACAGCCACAAAGGAACAATCTTGAGGAGCAACCTTGCAGAAGAGTGTGACGCAACCTAACCGCGACCACATTGGACAATTTGCTGAGCCTGTTCGAGCAAGGCATCCACCATCCACCGCGAACAACTTCCCGTAATGCTACCTGTTTGCAGATTACACAAATTCCATATTGCTATATTTCAAAAGTGACGAGTTGGGAAAAAATGCGGAAAAAAAATTTTAAAATCATGAATTATCTACATGTGCATTTAATCATCTGCGCTTACGTCAACACTTTCCCTTTCCCTGTGTGAACACGGGCAATTTTACTTCTCACTTTTGTCACTTACGTAAAAGAGGTGATGGTGATTCGTGTGGCAAAAACGCGTGGGTGATCGAGCCATCTCCTAGTTCGTATTCATGTGCTGATAAAGTAGCTGTTTATCCTGCGAAAAATGGGGGTGCACAGAGATGTGCGCGTGGACATACGAATGCAGCTCCGTGTGCGCACCTCTACATATTCTTGCGCGAATTCACACAAATTCACACAAATCCACACGCAGGCTAAGGCGACGTGCGCCGCGTTACCAGGGGTGGTCGATCGCCTCAATCACGTTCAGCCGTTTCGACGGGTTAATCTGCAGGAGCGACTGAATAAAGTTCTTTGCCTCCGAGGATATATTAAACCAGTATCGTTCGTGGAACGTTACCTTTTCCTGGAAAAAATGGAAACGAGATGACATACGTGCATGTAGGGTTCGTGTTTTGGACGGTCCAGGAGTTGAACCGATCGTCCAAGTTGTACGCAGACGAGTTTTTTGCAGTTTTCCTCGAATGATGTCACGACGCAACTGTTGTGAAGGAGTTAATGCTGACTGAAAGTACCCCTTCCCCACCCTCCATCAACGAGGAACTAATCATGCATTACAACATTTTAAGCGAAAAATGGTCACCCCCTTGTATAATCCCTTTTTTTTTTTTTTTTTTTTGGCGCCGTTACCTCAAATCTAGAACAGGGGTAAAAAGGCCTATAGCCTCCTAAAAGGATGTAGATCATTATGCCCAGTGCCCACATGTCAACTTTGTTGTTAAAGTTGGACTCCTGCGAAGAGGGAAGCGATGTGGAAGGGATCCTGTGTGGAAGTGACGCGGTGTGGAAGTGATGCTGTGTGGAAGTGACGCAGTGTAAAGGTAACCCGCTGTGGAGGTAACCCCCTGTGGGGACAAGTCGGAGGGGCAAATTCATTGTAAACAAATTTCAAAGTTCAGTGCGAGCCCCGTTCGAAGTGTCCCTCTGACTGGTCTAACTTGGAACAACTCGGGGGCGATGAACCCATAGCTGCCCCGAATCCCGCGATATGGGTAGAACTCGTCAAAGGGACACCTGACTGACAATCCGAAGTCGCCAATTTTCACGATGCTATTAAAAGTGTTTTCATTCGGATGCTTGGTGATATTTTCATTAATCGAGCTGAGCAATTTCTTAATATTCAATTTTTTCCCCTTAACATTGCGTGACAATTCCAGGTCGGACAGAATATCCGACTCAAAAAGGAAAGACTCTTCCAAGTGGAAGAGAAGCAAGTTCTGTGGCTTTATATCGCAATGTATGATTCCCTTAATGTGAAGATAATAAAGAGCAGACAAAATTTGGCTGACAATTATTTTCACCTCCGCTTCGTCTAGAATCTTAAAACCAACATAGGAGTATAAATCTCCAATGGACGAATATTCTAGAAGTACCCAGATGTCGTTTTCATCTTCTGCACTTAATATCATTTGTAAAATATTACAATGTTTCAATTTTTTGTGTATTCCTATTTCCTCTCTTAGTTCTTCTATGTCTCTGAGTTTGTAATACAATTCTTTGTGCTTTACTTTTAAAACTAAATGCAGCGTTTTCTGTTCATTCGTTTCATGTCTAATGTCGTGCCAGTGGTGCTTCTGCTTACTTTCCCCCTTCGTATGACCATCCGCGTTGTCATTTTGTCTTTGTCGGCTGATAAACTGGAGGGGGAATCCTCCCTCCGCTTTTTCTTCCGCTTTTTCCACTTCGTTCCCTTCTTCCCCCTCGTCTATAGCATGATTGCCGCACTGTCTTAACTGTTCCTTCCCATTTGGTTCTTCTTTTTCCATATATGCCTGGCAATGCAGTTCCTCCTCCGTAGTAACTCCCCTTTCGCAACACGGGCAAATGCTTATCGTTGCTTCCGTTTCCAAACTGCTATTCCCCGTGTCGGTCTCATTTGATTCATCAATTTTTATGTTCCAACTTAGAATATCATTATTTATATACTTAACATAATTTTTCAAAACGAACGTCTTTCTGCAGTCAATTATCCATTCACACAAACACACGGTGCTGGAGAGGCCCCTCAGTAACACCTTAATTATTTTAAAGTTCCCCAACTCGCTTATGTTAAATTCCTTTATATGCTCGTATGAGTTTTGTCTGTTCACAGCCGTCACATCGCCGTTGTTATTTCCATTTTTTATGTTCGTACTTCTATCAGAAATGAATGAGAATGGCGTTCTTTTCAAAGGCATGCTCTGCAAATCGTGTGTGCCAATGCTTATATACAAAAATAGGCAACCGCAGTGTACAAGAAAAGAAAAAACTAGGCAAGCTAATCGGGACAATCAAATAAGGCAATCAAACTAAGAACAAAGCATGGAGATATACCCAAATTGCACAAACTCAGAACGCTGTGCCCCGGTGAATATGAATTTTCACGCACAAATGGGCCTAATTTTTTTATCAAAAATATGTCCTCAGGTGTCTCACCTGGGTGTATGTGTGGTAGGGAAAAATATATATACAATAAACGGAAACCGTTTTAGTTCCGAGAAACATATCCTTACATGTTGCGGTCGCGCAAAAGTGTTCTGTGCACCTCATTAAATCATTGCTGTGGTACGACTGCTCCACCGTGACTTCGTCTCAAGCGGTTAATCACAAAAAAAAAAAAAAAGAAAGAAAAAAGTAGAGGATAAAATTGCGCACAATTTTTGGCACAAAATTGTTCACATGTGATAGGCAAATCACCTGTTGTATGTCTTATTTACTTAGGAATTGTGTTTTCATTTTGTCAATTTTTTTCATCAAAAGGGGTTTGCTACCCTTTCCAAGGTGATCACCCCTCCCGTTGCAGCGTTTGGAAATTCCGCAAAAATGTGAAAATAGTCAAAAAGGGGGGGGGTGAATGTGCCGACATACAAGTACACACATAAATATATGCAAGTACAATTACGCATTCATTTACATGTACAATTTCTTACATATACAGGTTACATGTACATATTCCCATGCATAGGGATGAACGCACAGATCGGTTTGTTTCCTCTGGGGGTGCTAAAATATGTTTTGTTAGAACTATTTTAAATGTCGTAGAAACACTTGGGAAGGAAAACAGTTTTGACCACAAGAAGAAAAAAAAAATAGCTCATTTATGTGCGTTATTATGTGCCCCAGTTTCAACTACTTGGTTATACATTACACATTAAAAATGGGCACTATTTTCCATACCCCACAAAAGGAAAGAAAAAAAAAAAAAAAAAGAAGGAAGCGTAACCAAACGTGCCCAAGTGTTATCACAGGGGAGGAAACTTTATCTAACATTAAATATATAAAAAGAAAGCCCTCAAAACATGCCAAAGATCATGCTAAAAAGAGAGATTTAACTACAATTTTGTTCCCATTCGTGACCGTTACCCCTTACAAATTATTTGTTTTATTTCTGCAAAATGGCATCCGTGAAGAAGAAAAGGGGCAAGTGCACAAATGGTAATGAACGCCAAAACTTCCACATTATGTATTTGGTTTACACCACACTTTGGCTTCTAAATCCTTTTCACCAGGAAGCTTTTTCCTTTAAATCCCGTTCGGGGGATAAAAACAACATGGAAAATGTGGAAAAAAGGGGAAAAAATACATGACCAAAAAAGTGACACAAAACAAACAAATGACAAAATGAATCGAATTGGTCTTAAATAAATGTCAGGGGTACAACGAAAATGTAACAAACATGGGAAAGAAATTTCCACGAGGTGGAAACACCCAAAAAAAAGAAAAAAAACTAGTTTTCATCATAGGGAGAAAAATGCTCCTCAGACTCTTCTGCTGTTCGCGACATGGTACCAGCTTCTACATGCCCGCGATTTATCTAAAGAGGCCCAAAAAATAAAAAAAGTTCCAAAAAATATTTTGATACTTATATAAGGCTATAAATTGGTTATGAAGAGAACCCCCATCAGGTAACTCTATACCCCGCGCATGTGCGCATGGCATACGAAGTTGTATTCGCGTCTTCCCGACTGAAAATGCTATGTGTCAGAAGAGCGCGAATGTAGAAATGTTTGCACTTGGGCGTGCGTATCTGCCTTGTAAAAAACATGTTGCTCTGTTTGTATGCCTATCCGTGTACATGTATGCGGACGCTCATATTTATGTGCGTACCGCGCGGGGCTCTTCACTTATGTCGTCCATTATCGTTTGATTTTCTGCTACGAAACGGGGGAGGGAAAAAAAAAGAAAATTTTAAAAAGTACAGCGTAAAATTGAGAAAGCATAACACCCAATGCGCTACAAACGGAGACAACTTTTTCATGTGCCGAAACTTTTGCTTCGCAGAAGATGGCGATTTGAAAAAATCATTTTCCAGTGTGATACTTGCGTCCAGTGTATTATTGGTGTAATCCGCGGAGGCCCTTTTCCGAATGGGGTAATAATTAACCACATTGGAAGGATAAAAAATACGAATGAATTCAATTAACTTTTTAAAAACTATTTTATAATCATCTTCATTCAAATTTGAAACAATGCTAGATCGTGCACATTTTTTTCTGCAAAAAAATTCATAGTCTAGGATAGAATTTGCTACACTGTTTGAATTCATTAAACTACAACAAATTTCACAAGGTTCTTCAGAGCAGTTTTTAGCATCTTCTTGATTTTTTTTAAAATTAGAAGAACATTTTTTTTCAAATTCTTTCAGCTTTTTAAACGAACAAGAGCATTCGTTATGATTGTTATTATTTTGTTTACTAACTAGACACGCCATGGTGTCACCCATTTGGACCACTTTCGATATTTCGCTTGTCGAATCTATTTTTGAGTTCAAGTAGGACAGAAAGGAAGAAAAGACATTTTTACCCTCCGCACCGATGAACGTCAAAAGTGCGAAGCTTAACACAAAGAGGATTCGTTTATACATTTTTGAGAAGGCACACGAATGGGGGTTGTTCAGCGAATATTTTAGCCTGTGTCCCAAATCGTACGTGCCTGTGCTTATGCCGCTTTATGTGTGTGCTTATGAAGTAGGGGTACATTGAATCACCTTTCAGTTTTTCTTAAAATGGCCAGGGGGGGGGAACAATCGAGTTTGTGGATTACTCTTCAAGATATTTTTTCCACGGGGCGTTCGGTAGATGTCAAAGTGTGCCAGCTGTTTGTGGCATTTATAGGTGGTTTTCTTTTGTCCGACTTGCCCATTTGACCATGTCTCCATTTACCACTTCTCCATTTTGCCATTTTCTTTCAGCAAGCATTAAACGCCCCTTAAAAGTTGTGTACATACAACGAAAAAAGAAGAAAGAAAAAAAAAAAAAAAAAAAAAGAGGATACCTAAGCAAATTTCCATGCACAATCAAAAGTATTCCCTTTTGTGGGACCACCACCGTACGCACCACATAAATTGGCAGGAATTAATCAAAAAAATAAGGACAATTTTCCAATTACGAAATGTATTGTTCTTATGAAAAAGCACAAGTTGGTCTTCTACAATATTTAAATTTTCTCCCTCCGTGCACGAAACTTGATGATTATCTTAACCAGTTTTCTGTAAAAAAATGTTTGCTTCACAACTTTGGTAAATTTTTTTTTTTTTTTTCTTTATGATGCAACATTCAAATATTGTGAACGTCTTAGAGGACACTTCCACAGAATGTCTATGAATTAAGTGGAACAAATATTACCTTTTTTGTGTAAAACATACGTTAACAAATTTGGACAGTTCTCCCATTTTTGTCTCTTCCGTGCAGGATGTCCTACTGTTTGTTTCGCTTTGCTATCTACTTCCCTTTTCATTCCTTACTATTTCTCAAGCTTTTGAAGGCCTTCTGAAATTCTTCATGTAACTCTGTTCAAAGGGAGGGAAGGCATAATTCGTGTACAAGGGTATCTATCCGCATGTAAACACAAAAAGGGCGTAACTACGCAGTGCAGTTTTAGTGACTCCACAGCGGATTCGCATTAATAATGGGGAATATGCCAATGGAATTTCCCCCCAATGGTTGACTAAAACTATGGGCCGATTCTTATGCACTCATTCTTATGGGCACAATTTTGTGCTAATCCGTTTTACCTTGACTGATTGGTTTTCCGTCCTTGTATATTGTCTCCCGAAGATGCATCTTGCTCCTTTCCAAAGCTATGTCAGAATATGGGTCTTTCAAACATCTTCGTGGGATAGGAAGTGGGGGGGGAAACAAACAAAAAGAAAATGGGCAATCTGTGTGCAAATATGTCTGCACAGGTTGAAGTTTGTGCGTAGGGGGCTGCTCCACATGTTTATTATGTTCGGCATTTCGCGCGTGTAAAAAGAAAAGTGAAATGCCTCAAACGATTTGGGGGATGAAGCGATGTTATATTTCCTTGGCTGTATGTTTTTTTTTCCTCTCCTTCCCCGTACTTCCTCAAAATGTCCGCCATTTCAGAGGCGTATCTTATGTAAGAAACATTCGCCGCTTTCCACATCTCTGGATAGGATAATAGTATTATCCACCAGGGACACCAGTTTTATGTTTTCCTATCTACGCACGTATGCACGTAGGTAAGAATATTTTTAAGCTTGTTCACCTTGCCGAACAGGTGTTTTATACGTACAACAGCTGCCCTCCAGGTGAAGTGAACGACAGGGTGTATATCTATTTAACTGGAATGAAGCGAAACAGGATAACTTATTCAAAGTGTGAATTGTACCATGCGCGTTAACGAAAAAGTGCGATGATTGCTCGACAATTTCATGGTTAAATATGTAAAAATTGTATAAATGTTACTCTTAAAAAAAAAAAAATTGATCATGGATATCCGGGGAAGCCTCTCCGGGTTGAAAAAAAGCGTGTATGCGCCAAAAAAAAAAAAAAAACTAGCGTTTTCGCTAATGCGAGCCGAAATGCTTCAAATTACACCTAGAAGCGTTACATCATGTAGATTGTCCCACAACCGCGGCCACTTCCCATTTGGTATGCACAATAGCACAGTTACATTGATCCGCTTACTCACCATATGGATCACCCACAAAAGAGCCAACTCTGTCATTGTTCGGTCAGAGGAAACGGCTAGCTCTGCCGAGGGAAGTAACTACGTCATATGGATGTGCCGAGGAAGCCGGCGCAGCAAAGAAGCACATACAGACTTATATGTAAATATAGGTGTATGCCCGCTTGTGAGTATATGCTTATGCCTGCACCGCAATGCGGTTCGTAAATTTCCCTCAACGGCTGAATTACTGCCGCTATCGTTAAAGGGATGTCCGAAGTGGGCGAATTGTTTGATATGAGCACTGCGCGTGGGCAAATTTAAAGGTTGGCTAAGCAGCTTCTCGAAGGTGTATACATATGCCCACGAGCGCACACGCATAAAGTGGAAGAATGCGTCCAGCTCAGTGGTAAGCCGAAGTGAACCACTCTGCCAAATTAAGTAGAAAAACCACAATATGAATAACATCCTGAAAAACCACAATATGAATAACCTCCTGAGAAACCACAATATGAATAACCTCCTGAAAGGACACAATATGAATTACCTCCTGAAGAAGCAAAATATTAATAGCATCCTGAAAGACCACAACAGTTTTGCTGCTCAGAGGGTGGTGAGAGAATGTATCGGAGCGAGCGCAAAGGGGGTAAAAAATATCCAGAGGAACAGCCCCCCCTTTGACGGGGTTCCTGGGGGTAGAAAAATGGGGAAATATTTTTCCACAATGTTATTCTACGATAATAGGAGTAGTCTAAATAAGGCAAAAAACAAAATGCGCCTAAAAGGTAGCCCGGAAAAGAGACACCCTTCAATACTAAGCCGTAATGGCACTGCTCTCTCTTTTTCAACGAATAAAAAAATAAAAATTATCAACCCGAAAAAAATAAGAAATGTGGCAATCATTGCACATGTGGATCATGGAAAGACAACCCTGGTGGATAAGCTCCTAAAACAAGGGGGAGAAGAAACAAACAACGAAAGAGTAATGGATCATAATGATTTAGAAAGAGAAAGAGGCATTACTATCATGTCCAAAGTGACAAGAATAAAATATGATGATTATTTTTTTAACATCGTTGACACACCGGGGCATTCAGATTTTGGGGGAGAAGTTGAACGAGTGCTAAATCTAATTGATGGGGTGTGCTTAATTATTGACGTAGTTGAAGGGCCAAAGAACCAAACCAAATTTGTGCTAAAGAAATCTCTCCTAAATCCAAAGTGCAAAATTATTGTCATTATGAATAAGTTTGATAAACCTAGTAATATAAAAAGGAAGGAAGAAATTGAAAATGAAATATTTGATCTTTTCGCTGATTTAAATGCTCCAGATGAACTGATGAATTACCCCATTCTCTATGCCTCTGCGAAGAATGGGTGGTGCACGGACAACTTCGAAGAGGCCAAACAGAACAAGTGTGCACATAATAACGTCCTAGTCATTTTTAAAAAAATTATAGAATATTTTGACTCCCCCCTGATGCTGCCCTCGCGTAGTGGAGATTCATCAGATGTTGACGCAACAATAGGGTCTCAAAAGCGTTTCACAGGGGATGATGCAAATGGTATAACTCCTCTGCTTAGGGGGGTGTTGGAAAGAAAAGATACTACGAAGGATGGCGGCCTTGTCGAGGACCCGTCCAACCGCCACTCCTGCGGGGAGGACAAAGAAGTGGAAGAGAAGATAACGAGCGAGCCGTTCTGCATGCTAGTCAGCCTTATAGACCACCAAGAAGGGGTAGGCGTCACGGTGACGGGAAAAATATACGGAGGGGTTATCAAAAAAGGAGACACGATTATTGTGAAGAGTGAGGAAAATAAAGTAAAAGGAACGTGTGTAATTAAGAACATCTTCTACATGAAAGGACGGAAAATAGAAAATGCTAATTTCGCCAATGCAGGAGATATAGTAAATATTTCCTTTTCGAAAGGAGTTACCCCATCAGTTAACGATACGTTGTCATCCGAAGAATCCGTATCAAGTTTGAAGGTGAGACCAATTGATCCGCCTGTTCTCTGCTTAAAAATTTCACAAAATACAAGTCCGTTAACGGGAAAGGACGGAAAGCATATAACTCTGTCCTCCATCGGTAACAGACTTAAAAGAGAAGCATCCATAAATGTGGCTATCGAAATTAACGAGTCGGAAAAAAAAGATAGCTATGAGGTGAAAGGAAGAGGAGAATTACAGTTAGGCATTCTGATCGAAAAGTTGAGGAGAGAAGGATACGAAATGACCATATCATCTCCAAATGTTATTTACACAAAAGATGAGAAAGGAAACTTACTAGAACCAGTTGAAGAATTCCACATTACCATACCGTCTATAATTAGCTCCACTGTCATTGAAAAATTAAACACAAGGAAGGCAGAAATTGTAGACATTATAAATGACGATAATGACAATACTTTTATCAAGTGTATTTGTCCATCGAGGAATTTTTTTGGTATGAGATCTTACCTTCGTGATGTTAGCAAAGGGACATCCATAATTAACTCCGAATTGAGAGAATATAAAAAAAAACAACCGTCCTACCGAAGTGACAGAAACGGGGTAATCATATCCTCGTCAAATGGAACAACCACTGCCTTTTCGCTGGACCCCATTCAGTTAAAGGGGAATTTATTTGTTAGTGAAAATTATCCCACTTATGAAGGCATGATTATCGGAGAGCATTTCCTAAGCAATGATATTGAAATGAATGCTGTGAAAGTCAAGCCCGTACAACACTTAAGGAATAAGGGCCATGAGGAAACCATAAGGATAAATCACAAAAATGTCTCCATTGAGTATGCCCTTTCGTTTATTCAAGACGACGAAGAAATAGAAGTTACTCCAAAGAGGATCGTCATGCGGAAAAAAATCTTAAACACGGAGGAGAGAAAAACAGCAAAAAGGAAGGCCAAAAATGGGTAATTCGCACAGGAGCGAAGTGTGTGATAAACCCAATTAAGGGCTACCTAATAGATAGAGCTGCAGCGGATTAGTTTTCCTCCTATCAATGAAAACGACTCCATAGGGAGACCACTCATACCTTTCGCATTTTCATTTTTGGAAGATACCCTCTTCGAAAGGAATAAAATTACGCGTCCCCGTTTTATTTTTCAAAAATTTGTTCTGCACATGCCTATTTTTATGCACAGAACGGGAAACTCCCATTTGGCTATGATGTCATGTAACCGTCCTGCTTTCCAAAGTGTTTCTCCCTTTTTGGTATACATAATTACATCGTACATCATGTGGGACTCTTTTTTTCTTTTTTTGAACTTCGCACACCGCCTTTTTTTTAACGCGTCACGAATGTTTTACTTCACGCAAATGTGATGGATGATTTATGGATTGTATTACATTTTTAAATCGAAATTTGCGACAGGGATTACCTTGCAGATTGCCTAAGCAAGCGATGGGTATTGTCTGCACGTGAACATTGAGCACTTTTAAGTTGACCCGCTTCTTCACCACGTTGGGTAAAGCTTCTGCGGGTGTGATATAGCCTTGCAATATGGCATGCATATATGGGGGAGATAAAAAGGGAAAAACTGCTGTTCAATGTTGTCCGCAAAATGGGGTGCTCACGTGGAGTAATTTTTTCCCCTTGGATTTATTATTTTTTTTTTTTTCCACCCCGCGTCGCAAACATTGCGCAAAAATGAAACACACAACGCGACGCACGCAGAGGTTGCAAAAATAATCTTTCGTGGAATTATCAATTTAAGGGAATGTGAGAAGGGGAACGGACTCTACTCGTTCTTGATGAAAGTACCTGACGTGAGATGAGAAAAAGGGGAAACATCAAATTACAAACGAGTAGCATCTGGGCAATACGCAGTCGCGCGAGCGGCCGAACAAACGTAACCCTCCCGCATCGGCTTCCCCGCTTTGCATTCATGTTATAGATAAAAGGGCCAGCAGAACAGACGACATATTAAAAGCATACATTTAAGGAAACCTTTTTATGGGGAGAAAAAAAAAGAGATGCTTTTCACGACATCCAAGGAACAGATGTGATACGCCATATATGAGGGGGACCCTTTCGAAGAAGGAAATGATGAAGCCGCATGTGTATATATATAAAGACACACACGTAGTTACATATCTGCATACAGAAGCTGGTGGAGCCCCTCACCATTTGTGCCCCTCGTGAAGGACAAAAAAAGTAACTCACCTGTTTCGCCACCTGCATCGCCAACTGGTTCGCACGAAGGGGCACAATCTACACGTCGCACACCAAGGTAGGCGAGCTTTAAGAAGGCGGCTCACCAAACATGATGGCAAAAAAATATAGCTTTATCTTGGTACAGAAAAATTACGCGCACAAATTTGCCTCCCCAGATTGTCCCAATTTGATCAGTATTAAAAAAGTGATATACGAAAAATTGAAACCAATATGTTTTCACATTAAACAAGATTATACCATGGGGCATCATGTCCATGACATGCATTTTTACGGGATTTTATGCTCTCCTTTGTTTGAAAATAAAAGCTACAAAGATATGAACATGATGGTGGAGAAGCTAATGAGCGAAATTAACTTAGCGGGGAGAGTAAAATTACACTGCCAACCTCCCTCAAGATTTAATAAGATGAGAAAACACGTACGATGGAGGTGGAACTTGGAGAAGTAACTCTGTCAAAGAGTAAAGTAAGAATGAGCTTTACGAATAAATCACTCCACCGATAAGAGGAGAGGAGGGCTTTGCCAACACTTGCCGCAAAAAGGAGCACGTCATAACGCGAAGGGGACAGAGCGGGGTGTAAAGTCGGCACAGTGGCGCGAAAAGGATTGATCCTGAACAAGGAACCATCCCGAACGATTCCCAGTTGCCCGTTTTTACCGACCATCCTCACCCGTTTTTAACTTACAGACGGCTGCTAAATTGCTCGGCGGAAAATATGCCGCGTAACATATTAACAATCAGGGGGTAAGCTAAAATAACAATTTTGATTGAAAAGGAATGAATTTTCTTTAAAAGGATTAATCAGAAAAAGAAAAGAAAAAAAAGGGGTACGATGAAACATTTGGAAAACGAAATGGCAATAAGCCACTTTGCATTTGTGTTATAAGAACAATAAAAAAAGGGGGGGAATTCCACAGATGTGCGCGTAGATAAATGCACAAGGTGGGGAAGGCCAAGACACACGCCGCTCACGCGCATATGCGTGTTCGTATTCGTAGAGGCCATTTTGTCCATCCCCGCTACGCCTTGGGGCGCTTGGTGCAACCGTATTGATAAAGCAACAGCGAGAGGACAATGAAGATGGTGCCGATGTACTTATTATAATTGATGGTCTCGTTGAGAAACAGCCTGGCCAAAACGAAAGTGAAACAAGGCTGAAAGGACTGATACAGCGAAACGGTTACTGGGGTAAGATAATTCAAAGCGATGATCTGAATTTTCCAGCACAGAAAAATAATTCCAAGGGTCGAATATAAAATGCACAAAAACTGATTAGTCGTCACATTGTATATTTCTCCAATCACATTGTAATTTTCATTAATGAACATTTCCCCGAGAATGCCAAATGGAAGGGTAATGAGAAACAAAACAGCCATTTGGGAAAATTGAATGATATCATTACTTACGTATCTAGTGGCAATATTTATATATATCACTTGCAGCCCCTTGGTAACGGGCACGGTTAATAATAGGAGGAAGCCAAAATCGAAGGAACCCATATTCCACACTTCCGCAGTTATGGCCAACCCAAAGAAAGACAAAAAAATAGACAAGCAAGTTATATAATTCATGTTTTCAATCTTCAAATAATATGACATTAGGGCCGTAAAAATGGGTATCGTCGGCTGAATGATAGCTACGTTATGAGAATCGGTATACTGTAAGGCGATTATCACAATGACCTGTCTCAAAGCTCCCGTAATGGACAAGATAAGTATAGGCATGTAGGCTATTTTAGGAATTAATTTTTCATCATTTTTTAGGAATCTACTAAAATAATTTGAACAATTATTTTCTACATTAACAGATATTTCGTTCTTGTTACTGCTGTACTCGTCACCACCAGCATCGTTATTTTTTCCATCTGCATTTTTCATGTTATCGTCCATTTTCCCATCCTTACTGTCTTTCCCATTTTTTTTTTTTTTTTTATTATTATCATCATTTTTATCACCTTTGGATTTTTTTTTCTTTTTTTTTTCGTTCTCATTTTCATCTTCTTCTCCAACTTTTGACAACTCCAAGTCTATCTGGGCATCCTGTTCACCCGGACCATCGTTTTCATTTACACCATGGAGTAGTTTTTTTTTGTTTGGTTCCGACTGCTTGGACGTGTACATATAAATCATCAGTGGGATGGTCAAGATTGTCCTCAGAATTATGAACACGTAGATGGACCCCTTTATCATAATAAAATATTTCATCAGTATGTAGTTTATGCCATACAGGAACATAGAGAACAGCAGGAGCAAATTTACGGTAATGAGCAGCACGTTCTTCTCCCCCTCATCTTGCTTGGACTTGGAGAAAAATTCTTCAACTTTTAGGAATTTCATTGTTCAATCGGGTTGGGACAAATGCAGGAGAAAATCCTTCGTTTGAGTGCATCTAGGCCTATGTTCACCCACTTGTGCTTACGCCTGCGCCTGTACACTGCCCCCTCTTTTTTAAACTTAAAAGATTAATTTCTTCCCACAAAATCGGGCGCAGAAGAAACGCATCCTTTTTTGTCGGTATCAAGCAGTCGCCAGGGGAATTACTCGCGTCTCATTTTGAATCTACACAGGCGAGACTTCATTGGGCGTGAAAGCATGCAGTGCGTAGTTCAGCAGTGGAGTGAAGGAGAAAATGGTTGTTTGCCCTAGGCGTAAATGTACATACGTATGCAAGGAAATGGGCACGTATGTACCAAGGTATGTAAGCACGCATGTATACCCGTACATGTGTGCAAATAAAAGCAGGAAACTCCTTCCTTCGCAACTCTTGCGCGTAAAATGCGTTAAGTTCACCAAAAAAAGAGAAAAGGAATAAAATGAACACATTACATTGTGAAACAGACTCACAGTTATTATCTGCTTTTGACTTTATTTCATATTTTTTTTTTTTTTTTGAGGGGGAGAGGGGGCTTCTTTAATGTATTTT